AGTACAGGATTAACTCTGATATTTCTACTTTTCTTGTCCTAGTACTTGCTTAGAGATACCGATCTTCAAATGTTACTGAAAGGCCAAAACAACAGTTATCCTTCCTCCTAAAACTTATAATTGCTGGGAAAGGTCATTTTCCACAAAATAGCATGAAACAATCTAAGCTCTACTAATAAGCCTTAAAAAGAAAGTCAAGAAACCACCGGAGAGCCTGAAGGATCCTGCAAAGCAGCAGTGACAGAGGCCATTCCCAAGGAACAGGCAGAAGGCAGCAAGTCTTCTTAGTAACAGATTGTGCGTGGACAAAAAGCGTAACAACAGATGCAAGCAAAGATTGATGCTTGTCTGGTAAGAGAAAAGCATGGGCTATCCACACCATTGCAAACTGAGCCCCAAACCAGATAATTCAGGGGTTTTTACGCAACTCCTAGACAGCAGACAAAGCACAGCCAGCTGAGCTGTCCAGAGCTCCGAGCTCTTTCCTACAAGAAAATGGAAAGGAAAAAAAAGAGGGAACAAAGAAAGTGAATTTGGTGGCAATGAAATACCTACATGTTAATTATACTGTTATTGTATAAACTTCACTTTTAAGAAACTGATTTTCCAAAGTTACAGCTTGCAGTATCCTGCAGTTGTAGAAGCTGGCAAAAGAGAAACTGCTCCACTCTGACTCCTCAGAAAAATACCAATCCCCTTGTGCAGACTCCAATTCCATTCAGCCACTCACGACTTAGGCAGTAATACAGCAAAGAACACAAATTATTTTACACCTTTCACCTGACATGCCTATAACCAATCCAGATGTCGTGTACTACCCAGTGCTTCCAGCAAAACCCCAGTCCCCACAACCAAAAGCTGGATGAGCAAACATTAACCGCCCTGTGCATCTTGTACCCCATCCATATATTTGTCTATACTATCACTAAAGTCTCATCTCACAGTACAATAATTTGGATCCTGTAGGTACTGTGGACTTTTTGCAGTGAAGCTTAGTGAAAACTTGAGCTGATTTCTTCATAGGACTGAATTCTCAGCTGAACCACTCTGTTGCCCTGTGGGGTTTATCACAACAACAGTTCACAAAACACACATTCGACAAAAGCCCTGCTGACCAGTCCCGAGAAAATAAACAGCGCACACAACAGCGGCCATCAGCAGATGACAGCCCAGCAAAATGTTAACGGCTGTTAACAGCTCCATTTTCTTTAGAGCAAATGAAATAATCTGCTTTAACTGTTTTTCCCTTAACACCTTCACCGACTAAATGCAAGAACGTCATGACTGTACAGCAGCCTCCTCAGATACGTTATTATTCTACGGTATATACCATATTAAACTTTTTCTGATCTTAACTTTCATAGCTTTACTTTGCCATTTTAGAATGTGTCAGAGCTTTAAAACAACTCTGCTGTAGCGGACAAATGTGGAATTAATAGATTACTAGAGCCGCAGTGTGGGCGAAAGGCAGTTTTTGACAAGCCGTTACCGTACTGGCAAAGGTGAGGCAGAACAGATCCAGATGGATGATTTACCAGAGAGGGAGGTAACCTTCTGAATTCCACTCATTTGACTTGTGATAGAAAAAAAAAAAATGAACCAGGCATTTACTTGTTCTAGCCTGTCATACAAGAAAGTTTAATTACAGAACAAGAAATATTTGGTCAACAATATTTTTATCTGTCCTTCAGGAGAAGTAAGCCATTTGAACACAGCTTTTGTCACCATTTCTATTAACGGGAGTTAAAACCGAAGTTTTGGGTTAAAAGCCAAGAATTAACACTGTTAGACATGCATATTTTCAAGAAATGAATTATTGCCCTTGAAATGCAATGCTATAAAATAATTAGGTTTTTAAATGTAAGGAGCATATGTTCAGAAAGCCGAGAGCCACAAAAAAAAGCCATCAATGCATTTTTAACACTTCTGAAAGAAAAAAAAGCAGCATATTAATGGATCCATGTTAGCACCTGCGCGCCGGCAAACACAACCAGCAGAAGTGATTTGATTTCCAAAGTCTGAGAAGGATTTCAGCTACACGTCGAAAGCAAATCATGAGCAGAAGCAGCACCACCTCCTGCAATCTTTCACTGAGCAATGAGGGATTTCCTTCTGCTGCCTTCAATCCTGCTCTCACACATCCTCCCTTCTCACCAGACAGCACTTCAGCTTCTGGCCTTTTGATTCTCATTGAAACGCCCGCAAGCTTCCCCTGCTGAGCTGGGAAAGCATCTGCTGCTTTGCCTCCAAACAGGAGAACACTCTGACCACGTGTTTGACTTCCCCGGCTGAAAATAAGACCAAAGCTGTGGTGCTAGTTATTGTAACAGGTCAGCTCACAGGTCTTTTGACAGGAGATGAAGATGGGACATGAGAAAGTACTCCAATTACAAGACAAAAATAGCAAGATCCCTGAACTCCTTTAATTTTCTAGTGATTTCGTCATATGAATCTGGTCGAGCTAATAATATTCTTCAGTTATTAGTCATAGACAGAAAGTGATAAATGCTGCAGACAAGCTGGGTTGCAGATAAAATTAAAAAAAAAAAAAAATCAATGTTCTCTGATGCTGTACTAATGGATGTGGTCTCAGAAACCCAAGATGATGTTTCTGACATCAAACAAAGACATGGACACAGAGACACTAACCAAGGCACTAACAAAACAGGTAGGCTCCGGCAACTCAGCCAGTTCCCACTATATTCAAACTTCATTTCAGAATGCTGAATTTGGTAAAAGATACAAACAGGCAATGCCACAAGAACAATTCCTACCCTACAGGTACCAAAATACCAACACGTGCTCATTGCACCTGGAAGAATACAACTGGAAATGCCCTGCTGTCTGAACACTCCAGTATCTCCCCAGCATGGACTAGAGTGAAGAGCATTTCAGATTGGGTATTTTTATCTATTTTCATCTTCCCAGAGAGCTAAGAAATCCTTAGCAGTTTCAAATTTGTTCTTACAATAAGAAGAGCCATCCCCAGAGGACTAAAACATTTCCTACCTTCATGTCCTCCCAGGTAACTTCCAAACAGGCCTCAACACCCAATTTGTAGAAGGTAAAATGGAAGCACTAAATAGGAATATTTAGCACATAAACCAAAAAGCCTGATGTTTGCAGAGTGAATATTTGAACAACGCTCAATTTCCACCCAGGCATGGAACAGGATTTCCGCTCCAGACGCTACTGGGCGAAGTACTCGACAAACTACTTGCACAAACACATCCGAGTGCCTGTGCAAATCCTTGAGATCCAACTCACCACGGAGCTGAGGAGCTCAAACTCTCGGTCGGGCAGAAAAGCGCGCCAGCCGTCTTCAACGACTTCAAACATGGGCCGGTAGAAGAAGGGATACATGAGAGTGACAGAATCCAAAGTGGAAAGCGCCTGTGTGGGCGAGAGAAATAAACAGCTACTGAATTCATCCAAACTGCTATTTTATTCCGAAAAAGTATACAGCAAATAGTGTTTTCCTCTAATATTGGTGATGCAGACTTAAGCCACCCGGAAGTAAACAGCCATTAAGCTTGAAATGCTGAGTTACTGCAGGATAGTTTAACATCATGACAAGCAGCAGCACAAACAGAAGCAGATGCTAACTGATGACAGTCTAACCCCAGCTGGGGATCTGTACACCCAGCATCGTTTCTGCAGGCTACACCGGGTAACAGTGCACCAAAGAACGAGAAGGACACACACTGAACAGGTATGACTGACAGGACACATCCTACATGACATTTACCAGATTACTAACAACAGAGCTTCAAATCAGACCGAGTTTCACGTGTCTCAAATGACATTAAGTGACTGAGTTTGTTTCGCCTCCTCATGCTCCAGCATAACAAAGCTGAGCTTCGTTTCCCAGACGCTACTGCAAGGTATTTGATCAAGATAAGATGTAGAGGGGTTATTTGTTTTATTTAAAAACACCTACAAGCAACACACAACAACTGAAACGTGAAAATTCTCATTTGCCTTCCAGAACAGCAATGAAAACCTTTATAACTGGGGAAAAGAAAAAAAGCTGTGAAGGTTGAAGTCAAATCAAGACCCAAGAACATAAGTGTTACATATCATTATGAATTCTCACCTCGATAGAGCTAGCAATGTTTAAACACTCCTCCATTCCAGGTATATCCAGCTGAATGATTCGCAGATCTTTGCATTTTATAACGATGGTACCCAATGAGCCCACAAACCTACACCAAGACATGAAGAAAAAGTCTCTTAGGAACCGGATCTTCCAAGGTAGGATGAGGTATTACAGCTCTTCCCACAACACATGCCTAAAAGATAGAATTCCTTCAGTAATAATTTGTCTGCAATATCATCTTTCAAAAAAAATAAACTAACAAAGCAACCTCTCTATTTGGTGCTTGCAAATTGTGCTCCTTTTCTTTGAATTCCATCCTTGTGAATCCATTCCATCCATTCATCCAGCAGTGAGTAGAAGTATTACAAGATAAAGAAGAGGTTTTCCTCCCAGCTTTGCTTTAAAACATGAAAGAAAAGATCCGGCAGTGAGTAGAAGTATTACAAGATAGAGAAGAAGAGGTTTTCCTGCCAGCTTTGCTTTAAAACATGAAAGAAAAGGTATGCTCACTTATTTTCTGATAGTACCAGAAGCTTCCACTACGAGGTTCCAGTTTCATTATGGTAATGTGTTGAAACTTCAAGGATTGCTGAAGACATTCGAGTTGACTTTAATTAACAAAACAACTTTTCAGTCTGGCTACATTACACTCCTTTGTTTTCAACAAGAAAGTTTGGTTTCCGATACCTGCAGTCCCAGGGAGACATTTGCCCTGCAGACCTCAGAGAAGTTAAGGCCTGATCACTTCTTACCGTACGACTCGGAAAATCCCTCTGCATTCCAACACGGCACACAGACGCCCTCTCCAGTCCTCCTCACCCACCTGAGAGGAGGAGGAGGACGCCTGAGCCAAAAACCAGTGTTTGCTTCACGTTAGCTAGCCGCTACCGTTCACAGAAACGCTGCAGATTTTAACCCACAACGCAGCGAACTAGTGAAAAGCAGCCGAGTCTCCTCAAACACCACAGCAGCGCTTGCAGCAGCCACGGGCGACGCAAGAAGCAGCAGCAGGCACGACCTGAAGGACCAAGTTTTGGTCCCTCGTGGCCCAACCCTCAGCGAGACCACACATGCCCAAGGGCAGAGCTGCACACGCTCCAAGAGGAGACCACTCGCCGAGCTCTGGGTTGCTTCACCCGCGTTCCAGAAGGTGCCTGGGATTTTTTAGAGTTATTATTACAGCTGAAAGGTCGTTATCTATTTCTTCCATACAGACAGAGGTCAACACGCAGAACCAACTCCAGCTTGGGTAGCGCCGAAGGAAGAACCACAGGCGTTTCGACAGAACAGTTCTACAGCTCCGGCATCGTTTGCTTCCCAGCTCAGTAACACAGCGTGGCGATGACATCTCCAGGGCCGCGCTCCCTCTCCACGCTTCTCCCGAGCAAAAGCACCACAGGAGATCACTGGAGACAGTTCTGCTCCTCGACAAACCCTACGGGGCATACTGACGTCGCTTAAAAAGCCACAAAAATTTCAGCAGCAGTTTGATGACCATCCGATAATTAGGGAAAACACTGTTTTGTACAAAAGACTCTCATGTCATGAAAGTGGGAGAGCAGATCTTATGAACCTGGTACAGCATCACAGCTGTCACGCACTAATCTCAGAATCACAGCATGGTAGGGGTTGGAAGGGACCTCGGTGGGTCACCCAGTCCAACCCCCTGTTGAAGCAGGGTCACCCAGAGCAGGCTGCACAGGACCTTGTCCAGGCGGGGTCGGGGATATCCCCAAGAAGGAGACTCCACAGCCTCCCTGGGCAGCCTGTTCCAGTGCTCCGTCAACCTCAGAG